CACAGCACTTCCGGACGTTGTGAAAAAGGTCTATGGATTTCACAAGTTAGGCCTACATACCTGTCCTTAGGGTTTCATGATAACTGTAATGTTTTGGTGAATACTTTGTAGTAAAATGTGTAATAACATTCATTACAGAAAGAACAAAAATGTGGCTGTTTGCTGCAGGTGTTCCAATCAGTGGGAGCAGGTAGAGGATGCTCTTGGAAAAAGGATCAAAACTTAAAACACAACGGACTCAGTGGCTCAGACTTAGACCAGGTTGGCCGAAACGTGTTGGCTTTGGCCATTTAAATAAAGGCTTTTTAATTATATTTTTCCTTGTGCAATTTTCACTTCTTTGGAGTGCCTGGAGTCTGCTGTGTTTTAAATTGTGTAATAACATTAATTCCATATTGAATAGCAATCAAATTGTAAAAAAAAGAAATTAAAAACACATAAATATGGCTTTAGTGATTCTCAACACAAACTACAAAATTGGAGACAACTGATTCTTAATGACAAACATAAGAACTGAGAAAGACCTTATTGGCCAAAGTAGCCCACGTACCATGGGTGGTACCACAGTTTGAGAAACACTCGCTAACAAGATCATAGTGTAAGTCAAGGTTAGAAAGCATTCAGATCAACTGGCCAACTGCTAGTATAAGCTGAGCCCTGATGCTTACCATTTTCTCTGCTGTTTTACTATGAATTTTTATACCATCTATCCATTTTCTTCTGCTTATCCGAGGCTGGGTCGCGGGGGCAGCAGTCTAATTTATATAACTGAACAAAATGAAACCAAACTGAGTATCACCAGAGCAGACTTGAACACCAAACACTGTGCTGCTAATTACAAGGGTGGCAAATCTTATAGCCTTATATATTTCAACTTCACAGCTTTCTCTTTTCCTCCACGATTCTATTTTTGGTTATTCTACACTCACCTCAGCCCACAGACCCACACAATAAACACCCCAGCGCACAGGGACATATCAGATACAGTCAATGGAGAGGCTGGTGGTGACAGATCTCAGCTGTAATTGATACTCCGCTTTGGCAGCCATCTTGGTTTGGCTCAACCACAGACCAGGGATGATCTTATATTCGGGGCATAAACACAACACACGCGTCGTCCCACTCCAGAGACTCTTGACACATCTTGACATATCACTTCTCACATTCACTGAACACACAATCACCGGCTCAACATGGCAGGTAGAAATCTCTGTTTACACGTACATTTACATGCTAAGGGGAAGCTTGGGTCTGTGTTTCATTTACAATGCTATAATGCCAAAGAGGAGCATGTGTTTTTTATTATAAGTTTATTTTTCATTCCTATAGTGCTGGTTTATATTATATACCAGTGTTGCCACAGTACTAAAAATTGAGTAAAAGATTGAGTAAAATTGTTAGTGCTGCACTTTACTTTTTGAAAAGTTTGTTTTGTTTACTGTTTACAAGAAATTTATGTTTTATAATATTTCATACATTTGTTGCTTGTTTGAGAATATTTTATTTTACTTATTAGTATTACCAAGCAGCACTTTGAATTTATTTTATTTTCCCATTTGTATAATGTTAAAACAAATTGTTGGTTTAATAAACACACACAAAAAAAAACGACAAGCAATTGGTTTTGCATTTTGTTCCCATACTGTACAGAAAATGAACCGAACCGTGACCTCAAAACCGAGGTACATACCAAACCGTGATTTTTGTTTATCGTCACACCCCTAATAATAACATACACTGTATCTTCATTATTTTCCAGTGAAACTATTTTGACCCTTAATTAACAAAATTAAAACTGTGTTCAGTAATGTTCATGTTTGTTCTTAGAACAAGCCACAAAAAAACGAACTACATCTATCAAAGCTTCTGAAAACAACATTCTCAGATTATTTCTATTCTCACTTCAGGCGATCTCTTGTAGATCTTTTTTACAGTGTAGAGAGAGAGAGAAGGGGGTGGGGCTCCAACTAGTGCCGAGGGGAACTCAGGAAAGACTGACTGGATTTTAATTGGTTGTCATCACTGAACTTTATCTTGATGAGTGAGCGAGAGGGACCGGGTGCATGTGGAGGAATCAGTCACTCTAACACAGCCCTGGCACAGATACAGTGTGCAAAAACCAGCCAGAATATTATGACATCTTAATGAGCAGAAGCATGTCTCTAATGATATTATAACACAGTGATACGGAAAGGCCACATACTGACCTTTTAAGACATCGAGTATCTGTCAACACAATTTAAGCTGATCATCTCTGAGTTAAGTTATTACAAAGACATCTCACACATGCACCGCTTTGCTCTGAAATGTTGTCCATTATTTTTCAATCAGCAAGAAATAAACATAAAAACCTAAAGCAACACTGCATGACTTTTCAGTGGCGGCGCTGTATGTGCATGACTTCATGAAAGGAATGCTCAATCCGTGCTTCACAACATTCTCTATAGATAAAGATGTGCTTTCTGGATAAGCTGGAACATTTTATTCAAGGTAATACAATTTCCCTGGCGATAAGCAGGTGGAGGCCCTTCTCAAGGCCATTTTGAATCAGTTTTTTTTGGGGTTTTTTTGATGCAAGCCCGCTCACAAGGATACATCTTTTTCAGTATTTTTGGAACAATAAAATGAAAATATGCCTTTTCATTTATTTATTTGATTTATTTATTTTTGTGTTTAGTTTAGTTTACCATGTGGTTAAAAAGTTGTGCTTTAAAGGTGCATTGTTTAACATTTCTGATGGAGAGTATACCACTTTTTTTTTTCTTGCTATGTTCCACAGTGTTAGAGAGGCTGGCTCCACCTAGTGCCTCCGCTCAGCTTCATTTCTCTCCAGCGACTAGGTCAGGAATCGGAATACACTAGATGATTTGCAAGAACCCCCGAAGTGCAAGTCCGGGCACCAGCCAATCAGCGAAGAGCCATACATTCTGTGTTAGCAAACATTCCCAAGATTGAGTTTAAAGCCGGAACAAAGAGAATGTTTGGTGAATTTTATCAAGGGGAAAGACATTATTGCCTTTCTTCCTACAGGATTTGGGAAAAGCTTAATGTACCAGTTAGCCCCGTTTGCAACGCATTACATACGTCACGACCAAATAGCAGCAAATGGTTAAATAAAAAATGTACCCACCTACTGTCAAGCGAACGGATTCTAATGCTGCAAGGTCAGACGGTTTCCACGAAGTGAAACCGGCTGATGAATCAGTCTACCACAGTATGGCATTTAAAGTCTATTTAGCCTTGATTTTGAAGCCTTGATTTTATTGTGCAGAAATGCCTCTAAGAACTTGTGAGCAGGCTCGCCTCTCCACCAAACTGATCCGTACCTTGGTCTGCTTGCCTCCATGTAGAAGTTTAATGCCTTACTGTGAAACATTCCAGGCTGAACAGTGAAGTATATCTGCATAGACACTAGCATGTGCATACCCTCCCCAAGAAAAGTAGCATTCTTGATCATTATAGTGAAATTTACAAGCACAATTGTCTGTCCAAAGGCGTGAATAACAAAGTATAAATGAAAAACATCTGTCAAAAGCAGCTCATTTACAACACGCTTCTGGAACGTTGATCAAATTATGCCATAGTATTCACCAAAGCACCAAACAGCCAACTTAGACTTCATTCAACCATATAACATGTAACACTGACAGATGCAATGGCAAAACAACCTCAGCTACCAGCAGCAGCCAACTGATACTTTGCAACTGATGTCATTTCCTGGGGGTGTGAGGCTAACTGTAGGCTCTGCTCTGTCCGAGGCTTTGTTACTTCTTTCTGACCAGATTGTGTTAAAATAAAACTCAGGTTCAAGTCTGACTTAAGGCCGCCACATACTACAGGATTTTTTGGTCTTAAACGATTTTTAAATATGCGATAAAAAGCACACACCAGAGACACGAGGAGAATCTGATGAGACTAAAATTCTCTGATCGCAAAGACTCCCGTGGGATATGGCTGCGTACCACAAGATACAAAGTTGTGAGCATGAGTACAACAACTTGCTTTGACATGCTTAAGTGTTTAAAAGCACTGAAGAGCACTACACTTCTAGTTTAGATACAAGTCAAAACTGTGCAATTATTATTTGTCAAATGTGGTGCAATATTTCAGATACATGATTTGTAAAGAATAAAAGATTGGAGATTAAGTACACAGGAAGTAGAGTCGCTGTCGTTAATCTGCAGCTTCACCCCGACCCACGCTGTGTGGATGTAAACAAACACACGTGAGAAACTATTCTTGCCTTTTTACTTTTAAAGAACACCTCAAACTGGATTAATAGCACAGTTTTGTGGGCTGGCTGTCATTATTTGGACAATTTCTATGGATAATATGGATGAGAAGCTGCAGTTTAAATTTACAAGTTTACAAGAGGTGAGTAATAAAGTCCTCTGATTATCTTCACTATATCCTGAATTTGTATCTTGCGCCTGTGTGTCCGTCACGCCGTCTGCCCCTGACTCACAGTTTTATTGGCTGTTATCGTAGTGTTGCTGATGTTTAGTGGTTATGATCATGACAGAGCAGCTCAGAGTCACACAGACACCATACACGAGGAGCAAAGCGGCTTCAAATTTTCACACAAAGACACAAAGTCGGGTCACATCTCCACGAACTTGGAAAGAAGTAAATCGGAGCAAAATCTGGCATATTGTCTTGTAGTGTGTGGTGGCCTTTAGGTGGAATTACAGCAGGTGAGATGATTTGTACTGTGTCTCTCACACATGAAATTACAGTGACAAGTTAGAATTACCCAACAGTTTTTCACTTGTCACTCTGACTTTTTTGATGAAAATCTAACGCCTAAACACGATAATGAATGCTCGTTTTGATCACAGGCTCTTGGAAATATGTTGTTTAAATCCATTTTGTAATTTATTTTTTCCTCAGACAATCTTAAAACGTTTGCATTGTGTCTCCATGGTAATTTATGAACATTCCACTATAGAGATCTATGTAGAACACCCCCAGCATGATGTCACTGCAAAGTATCAATACTATTAGCACTCGTAATCACAACTAAACAATACTGTGAACAAGATGTGTCTTACCTTAAACAGGCGCAGGATGTTGGCCACCATGATGGACACAGAGCTCGCTGCCGCTCCAATCACTCCCACTATTTTATCCGGTTTGGTGAAAATGGGCGGATCTCCGTTAGCACAGCGCACATCAGACCCATCCCGCTCAATCAGGGCCTGCACAAAGGTGAGAGACTGCTCCAGAGCGTACGTGTCTCGTGAGCACGTATCCAGAATCCTAGCCCCCAAAGTGATATTCGGAAGTAGCTCAGGGTCCTTGTTGATCAGGTCTATGGCGAACATCATCGCTTCCAAACGGTGGATTCCTTTTTCCTTTTTAAGTTCTCCACAGGGGGTACCACGATCGCCCCGGGAGTGAACTGGGAACAAGCCTCCCAGTATGATGTCCCCGTCCAGCCGGATAGAGTGGGCGTATTCGGGAGCAGCCTGTGGGTCAATGGGAACCCGCTGTGGAGATGCTAATGGGAAAAACAGAGTGCAAGACGCAGCAACAAGCACCAAAAGGGGGCAGTACTGAGCGCTAGAGCCTGGGTGCAACAGTGGATCCATCATGCTTATTTTTTTTTCAGTGATATATTCCAAAAATATGTATTGTCCAAACTTGTCCTCTTATTGGTCCAGAAGGAGAGGTTTAAAAGCCCCAAAAGTGGAGCTAGCCAAGTCCCAGGACAAAACCATATTCCAAACAGATAATTGAAAAGCAAGTAGAGAAAGTTCTGCAGGGATGTAGCTGTTTAATCCAAGTCACATTGTCAGTAAAACCTGAAAAAGAGAGATATGGTAACAGTTAATACAAAAACAAAAACAGTCAGGGTTTAATTGGCATTCACACATTGCTATAGACTGTATAAAGAAGTGAACAAATGGAGTGTGAAATTATCCACAGCATTCAGCTCCACTTAAATGAAGCTCACCGGTGCTAGGAGGCCTCATTCATCAGCAAGTTTCACTTCATAGAAACCTTCTGATCTCGCAGCATTAGGATTCGTGCACTCGATGTGGGTACTTTTTTTATTTAACCAATCACTCCTATTTGGTCGTGACGTATGTAATGCGCCACTAACGGGGCTAACTGGTATATTAAGCTTTTCCCATATCCCGTTGGAAGAAGGGGCAATAATGTCTTTCACCTTGATAAAATTCACCAAACATTCTCTTTGTTCCACCTTTAAATCCTTGATCTCGGAAATCGTTGCCAACACCAAATGTATGGCTTCATCTACAGCCATCTCAAATGTTTTGCTGTACCACAAAAAGGGACCCGGTCATGGCTTCACAGCTCTTTACTGATTGGCCGGTGCGCGGTCTACAACTTCCAGGGTTCTTGCAAACCATCTAGTATATTCCGATTCCTGACCTAGTTGCTGGAGAAAAATGAAATTGAGCAGAGGCACTAGGTGGCACCAACCTGGCTAAACAGTTATAGGGGCAAATTTGGAGCCGAGTGCAATATTAGGAATACAAAATAGTGAAATAAAAACACCAGGATAATGTATAGTGGATTAATATGAACATTTTAAGACCAGAATCAAAAGCGTGCCCATATTATTTTTTTCTATTAGCTATTTCCATTTATATATACAGTCTATACTTGATACAATATTTCCTTTTCAAATTGTAAACCAACTAAGCATACTGAGGACCAAAGGATTTTTAAACTCTATACACCTTCACTAGAATCATTTGGATAATTTCAGCCCTGGGATTTTCTATCTCTACTGAACTAAATGTAAAAGATAGCTATTAACTTGAAAACTACCACTTCACACGGAGCATTTTGAGCTTTGGGGACGTATAGTCTAATAATAAAGGATTACTTAAACATGTGTGAATGAAACAAAACACAAGTCAGGGTGTGTTTTTGAGTAGTAACAATTTGGCCAGGCACTGCAAATGTTAAGCCAAGAACAACAAAAATGGGCATATAAAACTGTCGCAGGGAAGCTACGGTCCACCTCACAAACATGTGTACCACTTACAAGCAAGAGTGGATCTGAGCGTCACCCAGTCAAAAGACAGGCCCTCTCGTGCATATGTTAACATGAGGCATGTCTTTACAGCTGCACTGTGCAAATTCACACCAGCGTTCTATAATTGAAAAGTCTATCTCCATGTAATCACCATTGTACACAAACACACACTCTCGCGCATACAGTACAGTCATCTCTTGGCATGTCGATGAGGGCACCAGCTGTTGAGGAGACTGTACTGAGCCCGGGAGACCACACACTACCTGCTGCAGATGAGAGAGGGAGGAAGGGAGGAAGGGAGGGAGGAGGAAAGAGGAGATAAAAGTGAAAGTGATTGCTTCCTTCAGGCTATGGTGGAAGTCTGTGGAAATTAACAAATGTATGAAGACGATAGTATAATAGTATGAAGAATGTAAATTAACTGTTGGGAAATGGTAATGTAGTTGTTGACCTTTCAAAAAAAGATTTTATTTATTTATTTATTTATTTATTTATTCATGGCATAGTGCATATTCAAATTAGCCAGGTTGGCGCCACCTAGTGCCTTCGCTCAATTTCATTTCTCTCCAGCGACTAGGTCAGGAATGGCAATACACTAGACAGTTTGCAAAAACCTCAGAAGTGCGAATTCAGGCACCAGCCAATCAGCGAAGAGCCAAACATTCTGTGTTGGCAACGATTCCCGAGATCGAGGATTTAAAGTCGGAACAAAGAGAATGTTCAGTGAATTTTATCAAGGTGAAAGACGTTATTGCTCTTCTTCCTATGGGATTTGGGAAAAGCTTAATATACCACTTAGCCCTGTTATAGGTGCATTACATACATCAGGACCAAATAGCAGGGATTGGTTAAATTAAAAAAAGTACCCATCTACCATCTAGTGAACAAATCCTAATGCTGCGAGGTCAGACGGTTTCTATGAAGTGAAACCAGATGATGAATCATGCTATATTCAAATTACATATATAAGCAGATATTCATGCTTCTTCCTCGGATACAAACTGTAAACTGTTGAGATAGAAAATTGTGGCAAAAGTCAAAAACACAAAAATTTAACTAAAACAAGCTAAACCACCTAAACTAAAACTAACTAACTATAAGAAATTAACAAATCACTCTACCAAGATTTTTGTCTATAGCTCAAAACATGAATGATCCATAACATTAACCACGAAAAATGTTGCCTGACCAACCAGTCCAGAAGGGTCTGGAGCTGGACAATAAAGGCTAAAAATTCCTCTTTCAAACTTGAGACGTCCAACCACACCGGCTAATTAGCAGCACGTGTCTCTCAAAGGCAGAAGACATCTCTTCAAAATTTTCATAACCTTCAAACTAAATATATAACTTCTTCAGAGACAAATTAGAGTTTGGTGCTTCGATTGCTGATTCTGCAAAAATTTGCAGTTTCTAAGTTTTTTATTTTGTTTTCTTCTCCCATTTTTACGTGTAAGCAGCCACTAGGGTTGCCAACCGTCCCTTGAAAAAAACAAAATCGTCCTGTATTCAGAAACACATACGTGTCCCCGTATTGAGCTGAAAAGGGATGCACTTTGTTCTATATTACCGTGAGAATCAAAAATAGTGTGTAGTCAGTGGAATGAATGACTACATGGCGCTGTATTAGAAGATGTATAGTGCTCTGTGACCAATGAGCTGACAGCACACTCACATCCCGCTCATGATCTCATTGGTCGAGGTTGTTTGCATTGAGAAAAAGATATTGGAAAAAAACAAAGCAGCGTGGACAACAGTGGCGCCGATAGTGCTTTACGGTGTTCTGTTGAAATGGGCTGCACCGTCGAAATGAGCTACCTGCAGCCTAACGTAGGTATTCTGCTGCAAATCTAACATGCACATGTCCATGCTTACATGCTTAACTGGTCAAAAAATACAATACCAATACGCGTTTAAAATGTGACTTGTTACTCCACTTCTGTCTCGGGAGCTCAAACCGACAGCATTTAAACAGGAACAGCGCTTGGGGGTGTGCGCATGTGCAGTAGCCCTAGGTAGCTCAAATTGATGAGTAGCTCAAATCGACAGGACACCAGCCCGGCCAGTGAGGCAGGTGGAGCGGGGGACGGGAGGCAGGTGCAAAGCGCCTTCTGCTACGTGAAACGCATCATAGGTGTAACTGGCCACGTCATCTTTGTAGCAGGCTTTAGTTCATTGTCACATGGGAGGGTGGCAGAAATACGCTGTAATTTGTTAAAAAAATAAATAAAATGCTGAATCAATCTAAAAAACACTTTGGCTACATATACAAGGCCCACACATCACTCTTAGAAAGTGGAAAGCTCTGAAAAGTTGATTTTGCATGAGATGGGCCCTTTAAACAGGAACAGCACTTGGGGGTTTTGCACATGCGCAGTAGCACTAGGTAGATCAAATCGACAGGTAGCTCAAATTGAGGTGTCCCTTATTTATTTTTCAGGGAGTTGGCAACCCTTGCAGCCACGTTTGTTTTTGACACGAACAGACCATGTGCCTGTCAATCATGCCCTCTGAAAATCATAAAGATTTGTCAAAGCATGTGGTTCTGGCTGGTCAGGTAAACAAAAAAGCTGAAATATTACTTTGGAGCCCTTCAGATTACACTAGACATTTTTATTGTTAATTGTTTTAATTATATACAATTTACTGTACTATTCTAATTCTGTACATCTCCAAAACAATAACACTGCAATAATATTAAGGATTTTTCAGTATATCTCCCACCTCTACTCAGAAACCCCACACCTTCTTCCATTGAAATTTACAACCAAACCTGAGTCAAACCACCTGCTGCAAGACACAGAGAGAAGAGGAGGAGGAGGAGGAAGAGGAGGAGGGCGGAGGAGGGAGGGAACGCGGGAGGAGGAAGAGGAGACTGATGGGAAACCGCATGAGACAGTGAAAAGACGGAGAGATGGCTGCCTCTGAGCTACAACCGTGCATCATTCAAGCCCCGCTGTTAGCGCTGCAGCTAAATGAACACATTCCACCGCACCGCTCTCATATGACAACAGGTGCACACGGGCTAATGCTATTACTCTATGCTAACAGTGTTAAAAGTTGATGTGGCATTTGCACGCAGAGCTGGCTGAGTGGAAGTACACCTCTATCCCCTGCAGTTATCGCGTCACGGTCGGGCGATCCTCTGCACATTAAGCACTGAATTCGAAGAAAACTACAACTGGGTGTGAGGAGGGACCTGAAATTGCTTGTGACAAACTGCTCCATTCCTACACAACATGAGTGCTAATGCAGTTTCATTAGCCGTGGCCCTTGGGATTTCTTTCTCATTTGGAACTTAACTTTTTTCGCCCACTTATTTCATGAATTGAAATTGAGGGAGTAATTTTGAATGCTAAACGTGGGGTGGGTTAAATGTAATACTGCAGTGAATAGCCAGAGTTGATGTCAGTTGTGCACAAAACGGTCTTTTAGAAGGTGTTGGAGAGGTTCATCATGTCATCTACATCCTAGCTCCTTTTGCTCGTATTATTACTTCTAAATTCTGCAGAATGACAGAGGTGGTTTACAAAATATTCAGTCAAATACTGTTTTGCATAATAACAATAGAAGTCAAAGAGT